TAAGGAAGAAGACTGCCAAATGGTCTATTTAATATAATTTGTTCATAGCACATTTAACCATTTAACATTGCATTAAGTGAGACATTACAACTAATCTGTCAAGCATTGCATGCTTCATGGTGACATTTGGTATGGTTGGGTTTCATATTGTATCCAAAAGCTTTCTATGATAGTACTTATAAACTATGGAGCCAACTCATAATGTAGTATGTATCATTAGGCCATTTCAGCATGTCTACTTAATGAGGGGTTTACTTGGATGCTACTGTTGATCTCATTTTAGGTGAGGTATTTACTTCTCTCATCAGAGCCTAGGATCTAGCCTTAAGTTTTTTTTATTTGACCCTCTTAGAGGACTAGTACCGGACCCACACCATTTAGAAAATTCGAGCCACCTCTTCACTCCTTAGAGTCTCGCATGGGGGGTCCCGAATCCTCGGCATTTAGTTGAGTTGATTAGGATCGACGCATGAAACTCGAGTCAAGTTCTTACATTAATAGAAGCAACCCCTAGGGAATCTCTTGCGACCCGAACGCTCGATAACGCCGCATTTTGTGCACGCATCGCACCACCTACGACTTTGACCTGAATTGACTTGCCCGTCAGTGAACTCGTCCAGACGACTCCAATTGACGAAACAGACCACACGGATGCGTCCGGGACGTCTAATTTAGCCGGGACATATTGTTATGGTTTCGCGCGTGAGCGATTAGCACAAATATCGATGCACATTTTTTAATTATCGGTGCGCGGACCCGGGCTCAACCCAAGTTTGACTCGGGTTTGATTCGTGTTCGATTCAGGCTAAACTCGGGCTGAACATGGGCTAGACACCAACTCACCTGAATTTGAAATTCAAATTTCAAAATTCAAACAAATTATTTAAATTTGTCATAATTAAAGATATCCAGGTGTTATTTTTGTTCCAATTAAGCTGTCTGCATGAAAGGAAAGCAATCAATCCCCCGCCAATTGCTTCGCGTAACGGCTCCTGATTAGTTCACCCTGCTCCTATTCTAAAAGGAAGGCTCGTCTCCTTTCTCCCGGTTGGATTTCATTCGGCTCTCCCGCTCGCCTCACCTGCTTTCAGCGCGATCCCGCTCGCTTCCTCTGCTCGATCCCGCTCGACAGAAACCCGACTTCCTCATCTCACTCGACCAAAGACCAAACCCCATATGCTTGCCTTCATCTCACGCTCGCCTTCTTCCTCCTTGGTCTGCTCGATTCGACTTCGATACCAACCTCTCGCTCCTGCAATTTGGCTCTCCCGCTCGTCTCTCCTTCCTCTACATCGAACGAAGTCCCCCGCTCGACTCCCGCTCTCCCGCTCCTCGTTTGCGAACAGAAACGCTCGCCTTCTTCCCCCTGTTCCTCGACTCGCTTCCTCGCTCGACCGAACAGTCCCGCTCGACGCCTTCTTCTCGCTGTGCTGAAGAGTCCTGCTCGCTTCAGTCTCTCTGCTTCGAAACTTCCCCTCTTCATCCAAGTATTTGAAAGTGAGATTTTCCCCTCCTCTTCCCTTTACTGGGATTGATTTGCGAATTTTATTTTGTTTATTGTACTTGATGCAAGTGCCAATGGTTTTCTTCTATTCGATAATTGCGAAGTTTAAAAGGCTCATGCATTCATGTGATTTGAAAAACCTCATAGCTTGATACTATCCTTTTGGAGACTTGTGTTGCTTACATGCATGTATGAGTTTCTTTGTGCAGGTATGATGTTTTGATAATTTTGTGCCTAAATAAAATCAATTGACAATTCTTCTGTAGCATTGGGTTACTTCTGTTAGCCTACCCATAAATATTGGTTTAGGTGGCATGCTTCCCTTGAAAATTATGCTTAATATAAATGAAATGCGAGTAGATTCTTTTTAGAAAATTTACCTACATGCCACACAATTTTTACACATTCACCTATCTAATACCTAAATTTCATTTATATTATACATGGCGCATTAACTGTACATGAAAAGACACATTTCACTGTTTTTTTTTAACATGATAAATCATTGTTTTTGAAGCTATTTAGGGGCTGCAGTTGCTCTACACTTTCACCTTTTTGAACACTATGTTCACTGTTTTGGAGCCATGCGAATTGGGGAGTCTTGGCCTTTCCTACAATTGGAAGTAATAGTGCTTGGGTTCGTGGGAGCTTCGTGAGCATCGTTTGCACTTCATAGCTGCTGTTTGGAGTGATAGGAGGCTTCGTGAGCACCGTTTGCACTTCATAGTTGCTGTTTGGAGTGATAGGAAGCTTCGTGAGCACTGTTTTCTCTTCATAGCTGTTGTTTTTAAGCTTGAAAGGGTGTTTGGAACTTGCAAGAGCCGTTCAAGGTGTAGAATCGCTGTGGGAAGTTGTTTGAAGGCTGTAGGAAGCTTAGGACTGCTGTAGGTGGCTGCTCATGGCTTAAAATTGATGCTTGGGTGCTGTCCATTTCTGTAAGCCTGTTGTTTGGAGGTGTCGATAGCTGCAGGCTGCTGCAGGAGGTTGTTTGAAGGCTGTAGGAAGCTTAAGACTGCTGTAGGTGGCTGCTCATGGCTAAAATTGATGTTTGTGTGCTGTCCATTGTTGTAGGCTTGTTGTTTGGAGGTGCCGATAGCTGTAGGCTGTTGCAGAAAGCTGTTTGAAGGCTGTAGGAAGCTTAGGACTGCTGTAGGTGGCTGCTCATGACTTAAAATTGATGTTTGTGTGCTGTCCATTTTGGTTTAGGTTGATAGGAAGCCACATAGGTGCTGCCCACCACTGTTTGGGTTCGTAAGAAGCCACTTGAGTGCTGTCAGTTGCTGTTTGGGTTCGTAGGAAGCCATATAGGTGCTATTCGAAGTTCCTAGCTGCTATTCAAAGTCGTAGGATTGCCGTATACACTTGCTAATTGTTGCTCAGAGTCGTAGGATGTCGTAAGATCATCGTACTAGCTCGCTAGTTGCAGTCAGGAGTTGTAGGAAACCTTATGATCACCTGTTTGGGGTTCTTAACTGTTGTTACGACTTGTTCTACTGCTTACTGTTTTCTGTTTTTCTCTGCAATTTATTTTAATTCCCTGCAAATTATATTATGCTTTGTGAGCTAAACATGCAACATGAATAACATTAGCAGATACGCCACATACACATGTACATTTTATTTGTTGTTGTTTTATCATTGCGATTTACTCTTGCTCTAACACATTATGTAAGTACTGATTACAATTTTATTTTCAAAATAAAACAATTTTCAAATATTAAAACAATATTTTCAAAACAAAAACAAAAACAACAAAAACATAACACGTACTTTTGAATTTACGGGAGTCCCTCGGAGAAGGTAACCCACGGTTGCTAACGAGATCTCCCCGGTTTAAATGAGTTTCACAACTCATTTAAACTAAATAAATTCAAAAGAAAATAATGATACCAGATTGAGGGAACCGTGTGATCCTAACCGGTGTCGCTCTACTCAACTTTAACATCCCTCATAATATTTAAATGATCACAACCTTATGAAACATTTGATTTGACATCATGACTTGAATTTAGAAAACTTAAACCCGCTTCGACGAGAAGCTTGGAGCAACTTTGTGGGCAGCGCGACAAGGAGCTTGGAGCGGTCTACAAGTGGAGGTGGTCGTCATTCTACAACAGCAAAACAAATCTACACCAGCTAAACTTTCATAGTCTAAACGACCTAGAATTTCGAGGTAGTTCGCCCAACGCGATGTAAATCCTCACTCTCTGTTAGACTCATGCACAGTCATACTGAGCAGTATAAGTCCTAACTCGCCTTAGGTTTCGAGGTTGTTGTCCAGAACGACTTAAAACCTCTTATCTCTGCGGGCTATTTACATAACCAGTTATTGTGCAAGTGTAAGTCCCAAACAAATAAAATTGACAAGATTAAACACTAAAATAACATCATCTCCAAAACATAGTCATACAGTAGGATAGTTTGGGAAGTCACTGAGGATTCCCCTCAGGATCTGTGACGTCCCCTACCCTTTACTTCCTTTGGACTCTTGAAAAAACTGTTCCTACTTAAGCCACTCCCATTTATTTTTTTCACGTCCTACCGTGAAAACCTAAACCTTGAATTCTTAAAGACTATAACCACTGATCATTATCGAGAATTTTCTCAAGTGATTCCCGTCATTTGAGATGTAATTAATTATAGAGACTTGTCTCTATAGGGAACTTAGAACCCAGGTAAAATAAACTCTATTTAAATCTTTGTATTAAATATGAGAATTTGTCGGTCACACATAAAATGTTCGCAGGTCGAATGGATGTCACAAATATTGTAGTTTACAGGATCGAGTCCATCGCCAAGGTATACACTTATCTTTCGGGAATGTGTAATATTTACGGTATTGGACACGATTATGCAAACTATTAGGCGAATAAGATCCATTTGGTCACATTTTTCCAAAATTAAAGCATACTACTTTTAAAACCCAAATTATATACCTATTATATGAAATTAAATTTCAAAATTATTTTCGATTTTCAAAAAGTTGACCGACAGCTACACAATTGCTATTTTTCATCAATATGTATGTCATATGTCAATGTCACATTGGTTAGTGGGTCTCACCTTTGCCACCTAACGCTTATGTGTCATGCCACATCATTGGCTAACGACATATTGTTGCTTATGTTGGCTAGTCAATAAGCCCAAACAATCGTGCCACATCACACTTTCATAAAGTGCTGTTTGACAATACCATGTTAGCTAACCATTGACCAACATCAGAAAAATTACACAAGGACAATCCCAAAATTTATTAGAATTGCAAATATTCACTTACATAGATATTAGATTTATTGAAATGTCATCAACATGCCCTTGGATTTTCATTAAAAAAAAATCAATCATCTACCTCGGAAAAAGTGTATGCCTTGTTGATCTTATAACTTATTGTTCACGACTTTCAGTGGTCCTATTCTTCCTATTTGTATGCATGGTATTGTAACTTAAGAATTTTATGGTTTTTGTGACTTACATAATCTCATTCTTTACTCTTCAGCATGCTGTCATTCCTGATCTGGATTCCTCCACATCATTTTTTGGCGTCTATGATGGCCATGGAGGTATGTTCTTTACCACTCATGTATTGCATTTGCTTTATGTTACCATATAACCTAGTCAATTTTTTTCTTTAGATCTTACCAAGACCTTTGCTTTTCTGCCTGTTTTAACTTTTTGTTTAGCCTTAGTTTTCTTTACCTGAAATACTTGCATATTTTCTTGATACCCCTAGGTACCACCCTGTACTTTGCTAAGCATGGGTTGAGAGAACAATTTCTTACACATGCTTCTCATTTTGTTTAGGGTTTAGTTTACCGCAAAATGTTAAGTAAATGTGATCAAAATAGCTCTTTCTATGGTTAATTAGGTTCAAGATGCATTTATTGTGGCGAGCCTTTTTTTTTTAATTTTCTTTGCGACAATACTTGACATAGATATTTTGATCATGCACATAAATGACGTTGCTGCCATCCTAACAAGCTCTTGCTGTGCAGGCAAGGTTCAAAACCAAAGCTTGACAACTTCCAAGGTCCTTACCAACTGGTCTAGTTGGTACCGACAAGTGCATTAGGCATGATACATGCTGAAGAGCTTCATCATATGTATGGGTGATTGTAGTGGCTTTAAAGTTTCATGTGCACTCAAGAAGATATGATTGCCCAACATTTGGGATTCTTGGCACCACCATAGGTGCTTGCCTAAGTTTACTCGGCACTAAAAAAATAATATGTTATTTATAAATTTATTTTAGGGGCGTTTACATATACATACCACACAATTCTTATGTAATTACTGATAAACAAAGCTAGGCATGGGAAGCTGTGTTGTAATAACAGATAAGTATCTACATCTCATCTCATTCTCTTACTTTTTCATCTCCCTCATTCTCTCTATCTCACCTCTTTCTGGCTTAGCGTTCCCTCTTTATAGAGGCGCATGGAGATGGTTCTGCTTGGAGCTATTCTGGAAATGGCGGGAAAGGAGAGCGCGTGAGGTGCTGATGGAACCCAGGGGGTAAGCGCCATTCCCTGGTTGTTGCCTTGAGGTTGTATGTGGGGACCGTGTGAATGGGTCTCTATTTGATTACATGTCTGGCACCCAAACTTTCATATTTATATGCATAGCAGTCAAATCTTAATTATTACATAATAACTACCATCATCACCTACTTTTTAAACTTGAAATACACATATTCATGCAAAGGTTTAGCACACCAAAGTGTTTTGAATATGTAAATATGGTTAGATATGTAACTACATAAGAATTGTGTGGTATGTATTTAAATTTCGCTTTATTTTAGTAAGGATGAATCATTTTGACCAGCATAAAAGGAGAGCCATTACATTAAATTATATTGGACATATTAATGAATTTCATGGTTCATTGCATTCTAAGTCTGAAAATCTTAAACAAATGTGATTTAATTACTTTAGTGTGTATCATATATAGCCAAGGGATAATTTCAAATTTACTAATGATTATTTTTGTTCATTCCAAATTTAGTTAAGAGCGACAAATAAATAGATTTATAGAAGAATATTTAAAAACTTGAATAACTCAAGAGGGATGAAATGACAAGAAGTTTGAGAGAGAGAGAGAGTTGAGAATGTGCATTTTTACTAAGATCGGAATTTCATAGCTTCAGTTTTGCTTGCATGCCTAGGATTTAGATACGCTACCAACCTTCAACATAGTTTGCCAGGGGCTGTATCTTTTTCTTATAAATTATTTTGGGATGGCTTCCTTTGCTAAGGATGCCTTACTCTTGGTCCATGTAAGAGCTAAGCTATGTTGCTTTTGGCATGAGAGGCTGGTAATTCTTAGAAGATCTCTTTTAGGTGGGATAAAGGGTTGTATACATGCTCTTCAATCTCTTATCTTTTTTCTCTTTTAGGCTTTATATCTTAGGCATGCTTTAACAATGATGACATGCTCCTCACACTACTAATGATGCACTTTACATTGAGGCGCTATATGTCCTATATCATCACTAGTTTAATTAAGCTCATGGAGGAAGAAAAAGCGCCGCTCCCTCACCCCTTCAAACACCAATCTCACTCTTCTGTTGTCCAATGAACAACTACTTCAAAGACAAGAAGGAGCAAAGGTTGCAATATTTTGACTGTCAACTCGATGTTTGAATGACCAAAGGGTGGAACTCTTTCTAACTAATCATTTCCCTTGCTCTTTTTCTTTCTTTTGCTTTCTCATCCTTTTTTTATTTAATTTGGTTGGGATCCTTCTCACATTGGGTGATCTAGGCGGAGTGGGAATTGCATGGGGTTGGGAGACTACCCCCATTTAATCCATATTTGATTTTCCTAGTCTAAGTGCATTTGATAAGTCTAGTAAGATGGGGCAAGTCATCTTTGAGCAGTATTTGGCTTGCTACAAGTATTATATTGAGTGGCTAATTGGTGTTCAAGTAGCAATGATCAGCTATTTGATGGCTGCTCAGATTTTACTATCAGGTTTGTACTTTACACTAGTACTTATGAGGGAAATACTCATCAAGATGAGTCCCCCTTCATATGTCAATATTTATAATATACTCTATAATTGTGGGATTTCTTGACAAGATTTTTCTTCGTGTTGCATGTGACAAGATCCTTCCTGATGATGCTACATGTATGGAAAAGTCCATAGAAAATGAGCAGTTTGTGTGGCTCTCATTTTCCATATTTGCATTATTCATTTTATCTTCTTTATCTCTAAACTTGTATCACTATCCTTTCTCTATTCTTGAACTCGTCTACTTTATTTTCATGACTCACTATTATAGAATTTGAAGTTCTTGTACTCAAATAGTTGCTTGTTTCTTCAACTTTTGATTCTTTTTCTCACCATTTTATGTGAAGTTAGGATCATTATAAGTCAGCTTGTTTCAAGCATCTGGAGTATTAAATCATTAATGCCCATTCCTCAAATCTAGAAAAGCCTCTCACCTCACAGTTCATTGTATTAAGAAAACGTTCACACCTTAGCATGCCTTAGTAATGGCGCTCATCTAGTAGGTTTGCAAGGCAGTATAACTTTACCTGCAAGATGCCTTAATGAGTGCTTGGATGTAGCAAAATTAGTACTCATGTTTCATGATTGTGTATAAAATGCGTTTGCATGTAGAGAAATGTCGTTATTTGTTTATATATCCTTTTTAATGCTTTCTCTTTTGGTTATTGTTTTGTTAATGATGATAACTTTTAGTTGTTATTATTCATATTTCCCATTCTTCACTATTACAAGTTGATATGATTAGTATAATGACACAAAATTTACAGACTATAATATGTTAAAAAAGAATGTCTTCAGATGATTAGTATGAAAGTTTAAAATTTTATTTAAAATTTAGTTTATTTTTCAATCTATTTAACTATTTTGAATTTGGTAGGCGTTTATATTTATGTATTTATTATGTTACCTATCAAGAAAAATCTGATTTATACTTGGCTATATACCTTCTCAAGCTAAGAAATTCCTTGAAAATGGCATACTGATTTTCTATTTCTGCAATACTTTGTTATTCCTCTTTCTTTTCATTTGCCTTTCTTTGTTATTTGGGTTTTTTCAGACTATGTTCATAGAGAGCTCTTTGATCAACCAATTCTAGTGGTTTTTTATCTATGGTTTGATCTCCCTTTGGTAGATTCTATTCAGTAGCTTGATGGTCATATCTTGTTTCTCTTGTTTTTACCTGTGTGTCACCTCCCAAAAGAGCCCTTGTGGGTGGTGGGCAGCCCAGGACTTAAATACTGCTTTTCGGCCCTACACCTAGCTGATGTGAGACTATTTGTCCGTGACATTCTCCTCCACCCAATCACGTGACGCCCTCGTCACGGATCGGCTCCACCGAGGATCCTACTGGACCATGGAGAATCCACACACCTGGCAGACAGTAATCTGCTCTGATACCACTTGTCACCTCCCAAAAGAGCCCTTGTGGGTGGTGGGCAGCCCAAGACTTAAATACTGCTTTTCGGCCCTACACCTAGCTGATGTGGGACTATTTGTCCGTGACATGTGGCTTGCTTCTTCTATCGAAACTTTCTACTTCAGTTTCAATAGCTCTTGTTATGTGCGACTAAGTCCTTTGATTTATTGAATCTAGTGGCTGATGAGTCCTTTGTTCTTCGAGAATTTTGACATTCTACGATTGATTGAGGGAACTTTTCATTTGGCTTTAATGGTGAGGCATGCAAAGAACTAAATTATTGGCTGAATAAAATTTATATTTTTAATGTGAATTTTTTAATTTTTAATTTAGAGATTCAATTCCTTCATCAAGTGCTATGATTAAATTGTTTGAGGAGAGGTTATTTCATTGTATAGGTGTAAGGCTTGCTTTCAGATGAATTATTTCTTTCTTCGTTCTTCTATTATTAGTTTTGAGAGAATATTGTGTTTAGTAAAATTTGATACAATCTAGTTTCCATTAATGTATAGATATCAAAATTTGTTTGCAAATTTTTTTTATCCTTAATTTCTAGTGTTTAAGTTTTAGTATAAGACGTTAGATTTTGTATTTCAATTGATTTCTATTCCATTTTTCGGTTTTATCAAAAATAGTGAATGCATGTTTAAGATTCGTATTTTGTGTATTGAATTTCACTTAGTTTTTGCATGATTTTCTCTTTTTTCATATTAGATCTATAATAAAATCACACAGAATTTAAGAGTTTCTAATTCATTCCTCTTATTGTTAACCATGTTTGTATCGAGTGCATGTTTTTGTATTTTCAGTCATGTGCTCATATCAAATTTTTCGTCATGATAATTGATAACTGGACAGACATCATGAAGAGTACTTCGTAAGTTTTCTTGAGCAATTATTTTTTTGTTTGGGCTGTAAATGGATATTAGAGTATTTTTTTATGGATAAAGGGGGAGAAAAAAGCAAATAAGAATTTACGGTGCAACACATTTATTCTGGCCAGCCTTAAACATTGTTAGGAGGTTTCTATGGCAGCATTTGGTGGTGTCGCTATTAGAGTGTGAGTTTGAGTGAATGCTTAAATTTCTTTATTGCATTCAGTATATCGTTGGCGCAAATCACTAAAATGGCTTTTTTCAGTTGTTTTGGGTGTCTGCGTATGTCAATCCCTCATAAAATCTGCATTTATAGGATCTTCATGTATTTGGAACACCTTTTTATTTTGTGGTTTCCATAAATATTTGGGAATTTTTTTCCTTGTTCAGGCCTGTTTTCTTTTTCCAATCGCATTTTAATACATACATAGATTTATGCTAGTTCTCAAAACGATGTAGAAAGTGGAAGTAATTGATGGTTCTTTTATGTTTCTTTGCAAGTTGTCCTGTTACACGTAAAATCTAATAGCTGAATTATTCATGAATTTCGATCATTGGTAACGAGATGAACTAATTCTCCAATGTCTTCTAAGTGAACAATCAAACAGTTTTGGATGGAAGCAGCATGCGAGTCAATGGTGCTTTTTCTGTTTGTGCGTGCTCTGCACATGAAACTGTAAATCATCTTCATCCTGTTTTTTTGCCTTTTCACTTATAAAACTTTGACTTGTAACTATAAAATGTACGTTTGAAGCTTTTAGGATATTGTATGGATTATTCAAATGTTACAGTAAGATGGGATAAGAATATTTTTTATAACGCATGCATAGAGACACACACTTGCTTATATACTTTTTTAGTACAATAAAGTGTAACTGGGACTCAAAGCAGCCTTGTTCCCAAATTTCTGTAGTTTGAAAATTTAGTTATGGATCTTTGATTAGCTCGGTCTGTGGAAAATATCTTCATCATTTGTTATTTGCTTCCTGTAATTTGTTTCCATTGCAGCTCATTTATAATCTACTTACTAATAAGGCCTTGATAATGATGTTCACTTGCTACATCAGGAAAGACAGTTGCAAAGTTCTGTGCTAAATATCTACACACTCAAGTGCTTAAGAATGACTCTGCTTCTCCTGGAGATTTAGGGGCTTCTATTCGGAAAGCATTTTTAAGGTATACTGTTGTTTATGTTAACTTAATGCTCTCTATTTATACGAGCATATTTTTGCTTCTAGCTTTATAACAAGGCTATTTATGTGGCAATGAAAAGGAGCCATTTTTATTTTATTATTTTTTTTATTCTATAGAATGGATGAGATGATGCGTGGACAGAGGGGATGGAGAGAATTAGCTGTAGTCGGGGATAAGGTGCATAAGTTTACCGGTATGATTGAAGGTTTAATATGGTCCCCCAAAGGCAGTCATTCTAATCCCCATAAAGATGACTGGGCTTTTGAAGAGGTAACTTCTTCGTAGAGCAATCATCTTTCAGTAATTCGTTTAACATCTTTGACCTCACCTATGACAATATAAAATTACACTCGTCATACTTTGCCAGACAAGAGCAGCATTATAAATTTTTTGACTTGCTAATGATTTTGATGAATCTATTTCAGTTTATGTGCCTGTCTTCTTGAAATTTTGGGGAGATTAACCTATGGTACTGTGGTTGACTTTCATTTATTTTTTTGTTCTTTGGTTGCTGTTGGCAGCTTAAGTTTAAGTTTCCAAATGCAATTTGTATGATACAGGGTTGCTAGGAAACAATCTAGTGAGAGCAGTGCAAGTTCTATATTTAATGAAGTGATCTAATCATTGATGATACTAAGTAAAAAAATATTAGAAGAGTCGCATCAAACTTGTACTCTGTATAATAAAAACTATAAAAGAATTTTTTTGAAGCCATCGTTAATAATTAACATGTCTTATAACACCTATTTATAGATTCCTTACCTCTAGATTAGTAGATATGATTGATCAACCTAATTTTCCAAATAATTATTAAATCCACATTTTAAATTTCATAAAAATGGAAATTAAACAGTTTCATTAGTTTTTTTTCCTTGTGAATAGAATCTGCAGCTGCAAGATAAAACCATAAAACAAACCACAAATGATTGCACTCAGACTCTACCACAAATAAAGGCATAGTAACAGCGGCCTGTATAATACCACTCATATAATAGCACGAGAGAGTGGCTATTGGTCTGTATTAATGTACTATTTTTCTTTAATGCTTGGATTTTTGATCATCTATTAAGCCTTTTTTTTTCATTTTCAGCAGTGCTTCCAAGCTTATTTTTTCAGATGAATCTAAATTGTTTTTTCAGGGTCCACACTCTGATTTTCCTGGGCCAACATCAGGAACCACGGCTTGTGTCGCTATCATTAGACAAAAGCAGCTTATTGTTGCAAATGCCGGCGATTCTCGCTGTGTTATTTCAAGGAAGGGTCAGGTGTGCTATTTTCGAAACCACATCCGTTCAATTCTTATGCGTGCTTCCTTTTGAGGTGATCTGATCTGCTTGCAATTCTTTCTCTCTCTCTCTAGGCATATAATTTGTCATGGGATCACAAACCAGAGCTAGAGGCTGAGAGAGAGAGAATTTTAAAAGCAGGAGGATTTATTCATGCAGGGCGAGTCAATGGAACTTTAAATCTTGCAAGAGCAATCGGTATTTTTAAAATTTTATTGATTTTCTCAGTCCAAGTGATCTTTATTCCATCTGAAATTCCGTTATGGGGCATTCAGGTGACATGGAGTTCAAGCAAAACAAGTTTTTACCTGTTGAAAAGCAAATTGTTACAGCTAATCCTGACGTTTGTGCTGTGAGTACTTTTCCTCTTGATTAATTTTTTTGAAGATTTACATACACACCACCAAATTACTATTTACATATCTAGCCCCTAAAATTCAATTTTTACATATGTACCACCTCTCCTGTGAATGAGAAGATGTATTTTAGTTCTTAAAATTTTAAAAAGTGGTATTTTTGATGTGATTTGAAAGATTTCAATTGTATAAAGGTAAAAAAGTAAAGTTTAGTTGCTAGATATGTAAATACATGGTAATTGGGTGGTGGGTATGTAAATGCCCCTAATTTTTAATATTAGGCGTTTTTTTATTTTTTATTTTAGATTCTTACGTTGAAGCTTTGTTTTACCTACATAACTATGTATCTCACAAGGTGGACCTTTGCGAGGATGACGAATTTATTGTTTTAGCCTGCGATGGGGTCTGGTAAGGCTGCTCATGCAAGTTTACCCTTCGGATTTGATTACTAGTTTCTTTTAGACACCCCTGTTTTGGCTCTTCTTGTGCAGTTCTGAGGCATTTTTTTCTTTTCCGCAAGGAAAAAAAAAATTGAAACCTAAAATATATGTTATTTCAATTTGGTCATTCTTAAGTTTAATCAATTATTTTATGAAAGGCTAAAAGTTATGCTAATTATCACACATACTTAATTTTTTTTAATTTATGAGTCTAAACTTGACAACCAGTAATATTTACATTATCATGATCTGTGCAATCTCAAATGTTTTCACGGAAGGACAACTTTATTTATCCTTACCAATGTCACTGTGCACCTAAAGGGCAGCTTTTATCTTGGAAATATTTACGAGCACAACTAATTACTGATTAGTTCAAAAGGTCAGTGATCCAGGGATTCGCATGCAGGGTTGAATATGATATCTTTAGTTTTCACATTGGTTCTAAGTATTTGCATTCTTCCTCTTTCCAACAGGGACTGTATGTCAAGTCAGCAGCTGGTGGATTTCATCCATCAACATATAACCACTGTAAGAGAAAACTTGCTTACATACATACCACATAATTCTTATGCCTTTACATATCTAACAGTTAAACTTTAATATTTACATACACGGCACTCAAATATTTCACATCACGCAGACATATTATTATAACTTTTTTTTTTTAAGTGAAGTACACTTTTTTCATGCGTTAGTTTTTAATTATGCCACTAAAATGTTATATATATCAAACTATCAAATTTTATATGTTAGATATGTAAATACATAAGACTTGTGTATTCTATTTGTAAAATTTTCTTTTTTTTTTTATACCTGCAAAAAAGGATATCATAAGATAAAAGCACCTTTTGTAGTAATGATTTTTTTTATTTGTTTTTAGCCTTGAAATAAATATTATTATAGCTTATAGCGAGAATGCCTCGGCGTTGTTCATGATAATTGCGCTTGCAGGAGAGTAGCCTCTCAGTCGTGTGCGAGAAAGTACTTGATCGGTGTTTGGCTCCATCAACAGTCGGAGTGGGCTGCGACAATATGACCATGATTCTTGTTCAATTTAAGAAACCCATTAATTCAAATGCCCGCGAGGCTGAACAATCATCTCAACTTAGGGCGCAGATTGAGACAAATTCAGATGGTTAATCAATCCAGACTCTGTTGGGCAGGTTTGTCCTGATTAAAGTACAAAATTTTACCATTCTATGATCTTGTTTTTAAGAGAGTAGAGCTTGTAGATTAGATTCCTGGAGTGAAATAACCTTAATTCTACCATTTTGCCTTGTATTCTCTTATAGTTTCTAAGAGTGCTATATATATATATATATATATGGTTGTCATAATTCAACATTTCTATATTATTTTATTTTAATTTGAGCTATATAAATAATAAATTGGCTTGTTGATCAGCTTAGACAATCCTCCTTCTATTGGACGTTAATCTCTTCGGCACTCTAGTCCTTATTGGAACTGACGAGACAGCCAGAGAGGCGATGGTTATGAAGCTTGAATGTTTTAGAGAAGTCTTATTGCGTCATTTGATTAATATTTTTATCTTAATCATAAAACTGATGTGATCGTGCATAAATTATTAACTAATTTTGTGACTAAAAAAAAAAAATCAAATTATGCTGCCTGACATTCAAAAATTATGTTGGGGACTAGTGTTTCTATTTTAATAGGTTTTTTGGTCAAAGTAATTGGCCAGTTTGGACGGCTTCGGAGACGATGGAATCATCTAAATCAGGCTTTAAATGACCTAAACAAATCTCAGCTAGAAAGTACAATTACAGACTCTTAAAATTATTTAAGAAGGGGATCAAACTAATTTTTCATGTATTAATGTTTGAAACAGGTAGTCTCAGAGGTTTCAAAAAAGCTTAGAGACTGAATCACGCAAGGAAATGGAAAAATTCATTGCTTGGAAGAATAATAAGTATTTCAAAGTAATCTTGAATAAGAATCGAATTAATGCCCTCAAAATTTATAAATAAAACTGCAAATAATCTCAGTTATTTCATTGCATTTTAAACACTTGAAAATTTAAGATTCATATGAAATTGTAGACTTCGATCACCATTTGTAGCCTCTTATTGTTCATGAATGGTGTTACATCAATATGGACTTCTCCATTGCTCTCAAAGTTTCTTAGACGCCTCCTAAATGGAGAATGATACCACAAATGACCTTGTGAACATGGTTGTCATTTTTTGACAATGTCTGTCCGCTACGCTCAATATTTGATGGCCAACATGGCATCTTCAATTAGCTAACATCATCTGGCATTATAGTCAAATGAAATTTGTCAATGCCCAACTCCGAGATGTTCAACTCCTAAAGATTTTCTTTGTCCTTCACAAGGATCAATTGGGCCTCAACGTTGATTATTAGGCGACCAATTCTGCTTAATAGTCATATTTAAATATTACAATTTACGCATCACCGATTCACATAGATTGATTAGCATGCACCTATATTTTACATGTGATATTCATCATTAGGGGTATAAATGAATTGAGCCGAGGTCGAGTCATGCATAACTCGAGCTCGTCTCATTTGTCAAAATACAAACTCGAGCTCAAATATTGAGCTCATGCATTTGCTTGCAATTATGACAACAAGATTGTGAGTGGAGGAACATGAGCTCGAGCTAAAAATCAAATTATCATTGGAGCTCACCAGAGAGAACATCGATAGTTGGAGAAGAAGTGCTATGATAGCTCGTCGGAGTAGGAATCATCATGACCAATTGTCGACTAGATGAGTTAGCTTGCGAGCCAACAAACTTAGCTTAAATAAACTTGAATCCGAGCTCCTTTAATAAAAAAATGCTCGAGTTTAAGCATGCACCCCTATTCATTGCTATCCAAATCTCAACACTTAATTTTGTCATTCATTAACACTGCCAATTGATGTTCATTGCCCATCATTCACATCATTGTGAGTCTTGAATTTTTATGTAAGAAACCTTTGTGCCTTACAAGTGTACAACTATCCATCACTTCACTGAATTATTCAACACTCAGTAATCTAAAATTCAAAATAAAAAACAAATTCTTCTTCCACTTCTTCAATAAACCGTTTGCAACCATTAAACAAAGTTAACCCACTTATTTGGCTAGAGTAACGGAAGCATTCAATAATTTTAGGGAAATTTACAAACAAACCACTAAATTCTTAGATATTAACATTTCTAACACCCAAAGTTTGATATTTACACTTACAACTCCTTGGAATCATAGACTTAAGTATGAAAATGTGTATTTCACTTTTAGAAGACGGTAATGGTTGTATTTTTGATGTGGTGTTAACAATTGGAGTGGTGTGCAATTAAATATAAATGTTTAGATGTTCATTATGTAAATATATAAAAATTGTGTCGAATGTATGTCAATGAAGCTTAATTTTAATAAATCAACCATTCAGATCTCAATTGTATAAAAAAGTTGATTGAGTGGCCCAAATCTAATGATAATCTGAAAAATAGTATTATTTTGATTTTAGTTTTATTGCTTCCATTCGGTCATTCCTGTCATGCCAATTTTTCAAATAACAATAAGAATCTGAGTCGAGCAATATTAGCTCACTTCGACTTCTCTCTTTCTTAATCCTAAAACTCTTTATAAGCAATCGAGGCTACTCTTGGGTAGTGAGGAAAATATTACGTCAGGTAAATCGGACGCGTGGTAACCAACTTGAAACACACCACGTTGCCAGATGGCTGGCTTGGTGCGATCCATGTCATCATCAACAAATAATATTTTCTTCAGGAAGCATTAATTTGTCGAGTCTGGCGACACAGAAGGCTAGATAGAAAATATTTTTTTCTCAACCTCAATAACAAACAATAATAATAATAGAAGGCAAAATAACATTTTATTTCAGCTCTAAAGGCAAATATTTCACTACTAATTTAGACTGCTTTATAAGAGTAATGGTCGACTCCATCTTTTTCGACCCATCTTTTCAAACTCTTTTTTCTTTAAATAAAGGAGCATCATATCCGCACCTTATCATAAAAAATTACATTCATACCATACAATTCTTGTGTATTTACATATCCAAAACCCAAATTTAATATTTACACTTATAACATTTTGGTATCATAGACCTACACTTAAAAAGGCATATTTCACATTTAAGAAAATAATGATGGTGACATTTTTTATATCAAGTTAAAAAATTGGGTGATGGGCAGCAATATATATATATATATATATAAGATGTTTTAGCAATTCTAATCTTTGGGCAAAGTTCAATCTGCAAACTTGCCCATTTTTTCTCATAATGCCGTCAGAATTAAGAATAGAACTAGTCTCCCACATAAAGCTTCCGTCTATAAAGCTATGAAGTTATAATTTCAGTCATGACTCGAGTATTCACAAAGATCACATTTTTCCACCATCCTAATGTCTTCATCATAAATCAAACTCAATAACAGCAGAAATAGGGAGGGGAGATGAAAGTTCTTAGTATGTTTTGATTGATCTTTTGCTATTTTATTTGCTTTTGATGATTTGAATTAAAAATATTAATATCTTTGAAACAAAACATGAACATAGAACAGCTTCACTGTTCCAAAAAGACCCTAATTAAAAACTGTGAGGCTGATTTAGTTCATAGAGATGTAGCAGATGGCAACAAAATTGAATGAAATAAGCATTTCTTAACCATAATATCAACAGATTTTTAACAGCTAAATAAAGAGCAGCTTCCGAGCACAAGCTACCATTAATATCTACAACTTCTATCAACTTTTACATATATCAGTAACACAGATGATTTATGAAAATGGAGCAACTCAGCATTAGTTCTCAAACCTTCAAAGTGAGCTGATCTTGCCATGAAATTTGGCAGTTCCCCATCCAGAATTACTGCCACCCATATCTCTACATACTGCGAACTTAATATCATCAGCCATTTCATCTCCTGCAACCAAGCTTCTCTTCAACTTCTCTATCTTCAGAGGCTCCCGTTTCACCTCAGCCTCCATTTCTTCACCCTTCTGAAATAAAAAGACTACTCAGAATCCTCAATTTCAGCTTGCTTTGTGTAGTAATTTTTATTAGTTCACAAAAAGAGGATTAATCTGATCAAAAGGAAAGGAAACCTGGTTCAAATCTATCAATTTTGGAACATTTCGAACAGAAGCTTCTTTTGTGTTGTGATTCCTTTCTTTCAAAGGCACTTTGAAAGGATTAAAATCTGCTAATTTTGAGGAATTTTGAGCTGAAACTTGTTTTGATTTCAGATTCCTTTCTTTTAAGTTTGGTCTGGTTTCAATAACTGGATAAGAAGGGTGAGTAACTTCTTTGCAAGTTTGTTTCCCTGCTCTGCAGGGTTTCACTAAAACCCTAGGGATGTTTGTGAAAGACTGGTATTTTCTGGTTAAGAATCTGCAGCATCAAATATTGAATCATACAGATGACACCATAAAATGGAGAAGAGACTATAAAATAAGAAGACCGGTTGCTCTTACTTCACTTCAGCCAGCAGTTTGAGTTTCTTCTGCAATGCCTTGTTTAATCTATCCCTTTTTCCTTCAGTTTCCTGAGAAATAACACAGTGGAGTTCCACTTTCAAACGGTACAGACAATAAAGGACATGCTCGTTTTGAAGGATTTAATTCATAATTCTACTCAATTTCTCTTAACTAAATAAGTGGGTGAACCAATTTAAGTTTATTTTCTCTGCGATTTTGATTTGATTTCCTTCTCATTTCATCTTTCGCAATTCTTTCAAACCTAACAGGGCCTTAGATCCAAAAACAATTCTAACATTAAGTAAAATAAGTAGAATGAAACATCTAGGAGTAGAATGTTTTAGGAGTAGAATGTTTGATTTATTTAAAAATAAAAAAGAAAACAACCTCGGAAATCACAAATGACATAACCACAATTTGTTAGAAGCCTAATCATACGAGCAGAGCAATCATCTGAAATCACATGACATACAGAAACACAGAGAAGATTATTCTAAATTAAACAAGCAAGAAAGACAAAACCTAAGAGGAAAAAGCTCGGGATTCCTCAATTACTGAAATCAGATGATCTGCCAAAGAATCTAGAAGCAAAAGGGTACCAAAATCCTACAAAACCAGACCTCTGATAAATTTCAGCAAACAAACGACAAAAACTTAATAGAAACATCAGATCTATTAAATCAATTTTCAAATCTTCTTTCCGAAAACAAGATCGCACCTTCAGCAACTCGTGATAATCCTGCAACAAACACCGATGCTTAAACCTCGCCCTGATTTCCTCTCCAGACAGGAAAGAAGTAGAGGGCGATGGATCGAAGGAAACCCTAGTCTTCTTTTTCAACATCTTCCCCAAAACGAAAAATAGAAGGATCAAGAAGAGGCTCGGAAGGAGCAAAAGGTAGAAGAAACGAAGAAGGCAAACACCGGATGAGAATTGAACCGCCTAGCAGAGAAGCTATAAGGAGAGAGAAAGAGAGAAGCGGAGATAATGGAGATTTAAAGGTGGAATAGATAGAGAGAGAAAGAGGAGAGGTTCCTTCCCTGATTTTCTCTCACCGTGGGTCTAAACGTGACAAAAACACGAAAGAGGCCCATATAATTCAAGAATACGAGAGCACCCCCTCCTTCCTTTGATGGAAGAGGTAAAAGATGAGTTTTTTTCGCACATTTCGTTGCTGAATGAAAGAAAAGACTGCATCTTTTTTGGGGTTTGCAGAGGGGCATTTGTGGCACCCTCCTCACCCTAAAAATTTGATATTTGAAGGAGTTGGTTTGGTTTGATAGCCACCTTTCTTCTCCCTCACACTCTCTCCCTCTCTGTCCTTCTCTCTCTCTCTATATCTGTTCCCTTCCCCTCTCTTATTTCTCTCCTTTAACAGATAAATTTGGTCCATCTTGGCCATTAGCATGAAATGGAGAGAGAGAGGGGGAACTGGTCTCCTTGGCGCGGAGGCTTGAGATAAATTTCTTCTGCTCTTCCTGTCCTCAAAACTGGGAGTGCTGAAAGAGAGAAGAGGGGAGGGGATGGAAACCAGCTTCCAGTAACGCTGCAAAATTTGCTGCCTGGTACTATGTGGAGCCCGTTGATGGTGGAGGCCTTTTAATGCATTATGCTTAGGATTCCAAAAATGCCCCTATTTGCTTTTCCCTTATTAGATGGAGCAACACCGCTATCCCTATTTATTTAATTTGAGTTTTTACAAAATAAATTACAAATTATCAAACTATTTGGCCGACTGTTTAAACTTCAAAGGAAATGTTTATTAAAAATTATAAAGAGAAATGCTTTGATAATATTTTATTCAGTTAAAGTATGTTGAAGTTTGATATTTATATGCTGTTTTTAAGTACGATTATCTCAAGCGATGTATATTATTAGTACATGCTTTAATGACTCAATTTGCCTCCCCGAAAAGGCAAATGCCAGTGGAAAGACAGAGTTGAGGGCTCCTGAAGAAGTTACTTCTTCATGTGAAGAGGTCGCTCCTTCTAATGTATATGTGATGTATTTGATGTTCCGTAAGTTCAAATCTGGATGTTTTATCATTTCTTTCCAGGTTCCTCCCATGAGAAAATTTTCTGTGCTGACTCCTGATGAGCAACTCAAATAATATGCCATCACGTGTGTTACATCGAGAATGTTATTTCGGGGTTATTGAAGTAAAGCCGTGGATGTTATTTCAGAATTATTGAAGAGAAACCTATATATTTCACTTTAATAAACCCAAAATAACCTCCACGATGATATTTTGAAGATGTTATTTTGGGGTTAATAAAGTGGAATCACAGAGATTATTTTGGGATTATTTCAAAGTTATTTCGGGATTATCGCAGAGTTCGTGGTTCCACTTTAATATTTTTTAGATGGGTCCGACATAACACACATGACGATATATTACTGGCAGTCTGCATACGGACAGAAAAAATTTTTTGTTCCAGCCGCTCCTAACTCTTACCCTGCTTGTGTCATTGCAATCAAGGAACTTGCCTCAGAATTGAATGATCTTAGTTCATCCACTGTGGAAGATGTGGTTGGGCTTCTAGAACAACTGGCCGTATTGAAGGGTGAGATGCCCAAATTGAAGGACGACTTCAGCGAGTAAATGCAAGAGATAGCCAACTTGAATGACAAGCTTGTCGTGCTTAAAATCATGCAGACCCAATCAACATGGTTTAAGGCGGGTGGTGAATTCATGTTTTGAGTTATTCGTTTCTCTATGCAACTTTATGTAAGTTGGTGTGATCTCCTTTAGTAAAATCAACGTGTTATTTGTATCAGTTAGGTTGTAATGATAAAATAATTTCTTAAATAAAGAAAATATTTACTTTTCTATTATGTTGTTGATTGTTGTGAAAAACGACCACAATAAAGAGAAAAATCAGATCGAGAAAAATCGCAAAACAGAAAACAACGAAACATACAAATTTATGTGGTTCGTCAAATTGCCTACGTCAACGGAGCTGCAGAGAATTTTATTACTTGAGGATTACACCTGTCGATTGCCTCGGCGATTACAAGAAAGAACAATCTCTCTCTCTCTCTCTCTCTTTCTTCTCTCTCTCTACCGAAGAGCTTCAAACCGAAGCACACCAGAAGAAGAACTTGGAAAACTACCAATGTCGAAGAGAAAACCTGGGAAACTAAATCTCGAGAGAGATTACAAGGGGAGCTAGCATGTCTATTTATTAATTCCATCATTTCATTAGGCCCATTAAGGAATTAATCAAATAATTAATGAAGCTCATTAATTATTTCCTTTTCTATCCTGCAGCAAATAGCAAATCATGCAAATCATAGAATGAATTAAGAGCAATTAATTTAGCAATTAATTTTGAGTATCAAATCCAATTTGCTACCAAACATGAGAAAATGTCAATTTGAGCAGTTGACCGGTTTCCATATTCGCAACAAATCTCCCACTTGGAGACCGATACACTGGCTGCATCATCCGCTAGCTGTGTCACCATTTTCTTCAAATGTGATATTCCCCACCTCTGCAACTAAAATCCCCTGTCTTCATGCCAGAAGACCAGCTGAAGTTGAGCACAACTTCAGCTTCTCAAGAGTAACACCCTCAGTCAATATATCAACATCAACATAGGCTTGTACCTCGAAGCTTTTTCTTGGGTTAGTATTATATTTGCTAACAACTCCCACTGCATGTGCAATATCATGTCTTTGTTGAAAGCCCTTTTCAACAACTTTAGCTCTATACCTCTTACTGTCAAAAAGTGCAGTATTTACCTGTTACACACACATGTTGTGCAATGCCTTCTTCCCTGGTGGAAGTTCTGTCAGCTCCCAAGTCTGATTCCCTGGCAGAGAATCCATCTTTTTCCGGTCGCTTTCCTAATAATGGAAGATGAAGTTTCTTCCCATAGAAGTATTCCTCTATTTGCATCCTCTAGTAATCAAAATCTGTTTCATTGAACTTCTCGATCCCTGATACCACCACTTCGTCTCTGTCCATCGTTCTTCCTTACATCTGAAATTACGGCTCTGATATCAATTGTTGTGAAAAACGATGACAATAAAGAGAAATCCCAGATCGAGAAAAATCGCAAAACAGAAAACAACGAAACACACAGATTTATGTGGTTTGGCAAATTGCCTACGTCCACGGAGCTGCAGAGGATTTTATTACTTGAGGATTACACCCGTCGATCGCCTTAACAATTACAAGAAAGAACAATGTCTCTTTGTCTCTCTTTCTCTTCTCTCTCTCTACCTGAGAGCTTCAGATCGAAGTACATCAGAAGAAGAAACTGGAAAGCTGCCAATGCCGAAGAGAAAACCTGGGAAACCAAATCCCAAGAGAGATTACAAGGGGAGCTAGCATACCAATTTATTAATTTCATCATTTCATTAGACCCATTAATGAATTAATCAAATAATTAATGAAGCTCATTAATTATTTCATTTTCTCTCCTGCAACAAATCATATATTGAATTAAGAGCAATTAATTTAGCAATTAATTTCGAGTATCAAATCCAATTTGCTGCCAAACATGAGAAAATGTCAATTTGAGCAGTAGATCAGTTTCCATATTCACAACAATTGATTGGATGGCTGTAATTATTCTCGGTTGTTTTGACACGATATTCAAAATAAATTATTTATTTTTATAATTTTAACCATGTGACAATTATCATTTTATCTATGTAAATAGATTTGAGGCAGTTTTTATGAATTCATTTGTCTTGTCAAAATTCCCGTACTCTT